CCCTTGGAGTCCTCGGCTGAAATTAAATGTCTTATAATATGCGGACCTCTTGTCACTGAGGTGGATGGTAAAGCAGCTCCCATGTCTGTCGCTGATACGGGTGGGGAAGGTCTCTAGGCTACTTTATTCATTTAACTGACCCATTATAGCTTAATCTGAGCTGCAGTGGCTGCTGCGATCTCATGTCAATGGACTTGTCAATCAGAGTCTCCCCAGAATGCTGGGATACCTATCGAGGTTCGCTGGACTGCGGAGAGACTTTTTCAGTGTGATGACAGTCAAATAGCAGTCTGATGGATTTAAAATGAATCACATTTACCTCCCAAAAGTTCATTTGCATATAATCAAAATATGCAAAACAGTTCATATCTGTTTGGAGCATACGGTGTGCCCATTGGATGTAGTTTGATGAGAAAATAAACAAAGCGTTTCCAAGGTGCTTCCCCGTCTCTAAATATTAGTCTTGCAATATGGAAATTCAGCACTGCTGGTCATGGACTGTTGGTCACACTGTACATTCCCATTTACAGCTGAGACCATATTGTGTATCACACTGCTCTCACACACAAAGCTATGTCATATGTAAACACACTGTAGATAGGATGCTGTTTTTGTGCAGTCTGTTTTGCAGACTTAAGTTTAAGTCTGGAGTCTTTCTAAAAGTCAGAGCTTCCCAGAAAATATAAATGATGTCATTGATAAAGGTAGATGTCAGTGAGTGGAGCAGCTTTTCAGAGCGCAAGTTAATAATAATAATAATAATAATAATAATAATAATAAAGAACAAAATAAAAACACAAATTCAATCTATGCATATGCAGTCACATATAACAATACAAACCATTTCTGCATTAAATCATCAATTATCTTGGCTCAACAATTTTTTTGGACAATGCCAGTGTTAGGTCCAATTGGGATAGTGCAGGTAGTTTGTCATTTATTTGTGGCAGTTGTGGGTCACAGATTCACGTCCCCAGCTCAAAAACTTCAAGAGTCTATTTTGTTAACCTTAAAGCAAGAATGCAGAAGAAGAGTTCCTAAGCAATTAAACAGTCCTCTAGTCATTTTGATGCTACTGCCTTATTTGGTCTGGTATGACTAATAGCTTGCAGTGGCTAATGTAAGCTAATGTTGGAAAACTTTAAGTAGATATGGCCATATAACTGACATTAGTTTGCAGACTTGATGACTCCTCTCTGCATGTTTATCATGATCCTGCAATTGTCACTGTGGCCACAGGGATTGCTGAGTCATACTATAGTTGCTATGCAGGAATTGATTATAATCCCATTTCAAATTGCTAATGCCATTGAATGTACACCAGAGGTTTGCAAAATCACCCAGTGTCAACGTTGTGTTTGGCAAGTTGATGACTGCCTGGTCCCAAAAGTTCTCATATTACAGATAAACAGTATACTATGTTTTTGTAAACATTTGAGGTGATAAATAACCAATGCAGTAACAGAATTTTGATCCATATTTGATCAGCACTGCCTAGTTTGATAGTTTGGTGTGAGTTTTGTAAGCATGGTGCGCTGTGCTAGAAAGAGAAGTTAACGGGAACATCATTTACTAAATGAACATCCTGCTGTAAGGAAGAAGACTTAAAACTGAAGATTGAGACCATACACTTATTAGGAAACTGTTTACTGACCTAATAAATAAAGTGAGAAGAAGGGTAATTTTCTTATAAGACTCAATACTACCAGATATTTTCTTGCATCCAATGGAGTTGCTCAATGCTGACTATTAGAAAGAACACAGGATTAAGACACTAGCATGATTTAGCAGACATGCAGACTAAAAAATAGAAATTGAGATTGCCTTCACTTTTCAGACAGGGAAGCTGTGTCCACTATTTATTATACAGTCAATGGTTCATGCAACATGATGTTTTAAAGTAGAGTTACTCATTTAACTATGTGGGCACATCCACTAACTTTTAGTCAACCAATGAGATTTATTCTGCCTCCAGAGCAATATGTCATCAGTTATCTTTTCTATGCTTTTATTGTCTCTGTCAATAATTCTGAGTCTTAGAGACAAACCAGGCCTTTAGAAAATTATCATATAATAAATCAGCAGTCAAAACAACCAGAGGGCCACTGATAACAGTTCATGTTCCCATATCTACATCCACCCTGAAGAAAAAAAAAATATTTTGTCCGGATTCCAGTTCCAGTCTGTGCCCACTGGCTGCATTATGGGTCTAATGCACAGTGGAGAGCAGTTAATTGACATTGACTGTTGCATGTCTACAGGACGCCAATAGAGCCACGGCTCCCCTGCAGCCTGAGTACTGCTCAGGAAGCACAAAGGCAGCTGGGTCTGAAAAGGCTACCTCAGAGGATGAATACTAATGGAATTGATTTATACCTCTATTTCCTGCAGGGAGACTTGTGGACTTTTATTGCCAAGGAGGAGCCAAGACCCTTGTGTGTGCTCAACAGCCTGAAGTGGTGGAAAGGCAGCAGCCCAGTGCGACCCGCAGAGGCTCTGCAGTTCTGTCACAAACTGAGCAACTAGGTTTGGTGCTATTATAGGGCTCCACTGGAGAAATGGCTGTGTGAATATAATGGCAGACAAGAAGACTGAAAGAACACAAGCCTAATCTCATTGGTTGTGTGGGTCAGTGTCACCTCCTCCAATTTTAGTGAATGGGCTGGTAAGGTAGATCTGTATGCAAATTTATTTTTCTATGGCAAAGAAAACTTTTGTTGTTTGTAGTTTAAGTCCTACAGTGTATTACTAAATGTTATCTGTTGAGAAACATGTCACTTCAGTTATTTTTTGTTTACCTTTGTCGTAGCTGGCTGGCTAATTAGTGGTCATTTAGCAGTTATTAACAAGGCTAGTATCCACTACATATATATGCTTTCTGTGCAAATAAAATTGATGTAGGAAGACAGATGGTTAGTGAACAAAGTTAAAAAGGTGACATTACATGAATCCAGTCTCTCTTTGAACTATATTTTGGACAACTGTGAAGATTAGAATTAGCCTCCAATGCCATGGCAGGTAGTATTGTTTAAAGGGACAATTTTACACATGAAATTCAGTTTACTCAGGAATGTTTGTAAAACTCAGCATGTGTGAACAGCTGTATAATGTTGTTTGTGACACTGGAGGAAGTTTTCAAAAATGTTGATAAAATAAACCCTGATGATGTCGTAGTGATGTCACCAGGGTTGCTTTTAGCTTTCTTTTTAGCCGGCATTAACAAGTAGAGTTTGAAAGATGTTGTATTTACCAGTCAGGCATGGTCTAACAAAAGATGATATTGATTTGCATTATTAACAATCTGAATATTTCCACCTCTGCTGTACCTATTTTCTTCTTTTCTAAAAGAAAAAAATCTGTCTCTTATAAATCGACCAACTTTGTGCCATACTCAATTGCTGGCGTACCCCTTTTAAGTAGCACAGCAGAATATAAGAATGAAAATGCCTCCTGTATCAGACCAGCAACTGCCATTTTATAATAGTTAATTTAACATTTACATTTAACAACTGTTTTACTTCCCTGCCCATAACCACATCTTAATTTTGCTAAAGCTTCTAAGCACATATACTGAAGGAATCATGAATTGTATTGGCACTGAATGTTCTAAAAACTGACAAATGGAAAGTTAAGTCTGTTATGATAGGTGGGGAATAACCGTGGGAATAACAAAATACACTGAAGCATGTTTCTTAGCAACCCAAAATGGCAGTAAGATCTTGTTTCTAGCTTCATTTGCTGTTGTGGAACACCCATGTGTGCAATAACCAGAAGAACCCTGGAATTAACAACAAGAGATTGATGGCGTTTCATTCAGGGAAAGCCAGGGGATTATATTCAATAGTTAAACTTAATACTGCTATTGCCTCATATATGGTACAATGCTAATAATAAGAGCCTGTCTCGGGATGGGGGTATCTCTGTTGAGAAACTGGCGGAGCATAAATCACTAAACATCTGTTGCAACAGACAGTGAGAAACATTTTGTTTCCCCCCTGCTCTGCAAACCACATGTGCTTATCGAAGCACGATAGCACACTGCTGATGTATCAGGCAAATGAAAATATATATTTTTTTGTACAGACTGAACCACTAAATAAGTGAATGTGTGCAATTATTCATAAAAAAACCCCCAAAAACCAAGTTGTACCCCTTTATAAAAACACATCTGCACTGTAAATAAGATTGACATGGCAGCTAACCTTTAAGAGTGAATTTTACTGATGTATTAGTGGAAGGTAAATAAAATGACAAGCTTTGCACTGTGTATGCTGAAAGGCAGTGACAGCAACCTTTTGAAAGAACCTCATTTAAAATCCAAACCAAAACGATCGAGCAATAAACTGAAAATGTCAGAGTATCGTAATCAATTAATTTAGTCTTAATGTCGGCCTCCTTTTTGTGTTGTAATTAAACCCAACTCTGAAGTCATTGCTATCCTTAATCCTTTGCTTGGCATTCCTCCATTATCTTTACAGTGGATTCGTTTGATGTAAAAGGTTTTGCCGATAACTGATATCACAGACCCACTTATGACAAACAAACTGCTATGAGTGAGATGCTATTTGCATCGCTTTGATGTCCCTGCGGGGGTTTTTGAAAAGCCCTCCAATCACGATTTGAACAACACAGTGCATTCTGTTTACAGCCCTTTTCGCTTTTATTGAATAGATGTTGAAATTTCTTCGGAGAAAAAAATAAAACGTAACAGCCATGTTGAGATGAAAAACAGGATTGACTGACAGAAACAGTAACATGTGATATACATTGAAGGTCTTTGCACATATACTTCCTTAATAACGAATGCCATGCAATGGGATATGATCCATGACTGCAGGTCACGTCTCAGTCTCACAAGTCAGGGATGATGTTGCCTCCCAAACCAGAAACACACTGTACGTCACTGCTTCTATATGCTGTTTTTTACTTTACACAGAAGGAGCAGTAGCCAAAGGCCTGCTCCAGTACTGTTTGAATGCAGAAACACAAGACGATGAAAATTATATGAAATCACTTTATTCTCAGAGTGTGCGGTGATTCCATTTTTGCAGGAAAGTTACAGACTGAAATCTCTGTCTAAAATGGCATGCAGTGAGGCTAACAGGTGGAGCTTTGAAACACAGAGAAGACACAAAACGATTTTTTTTATCAACAACCTTGCCTACATTGCACACCATAAGCATGCATACATTTTTGTCAACAAATAGGGAGAAAGAGAGAGAGAAGGAGGGAGAAGGGTGAGAAGATTTCGCAGTACAAAAGAATGCACCAAATGAACATGTTTTTTTGTCTTTTTTCTCAAAATACCAACCACCAGAGGACAGAAACAGGACCGGCTACAGACGAAAAAGAAAAATACTGCACGAGAGTAAGCGTCTTCTCAACACGTACAGAACAGAGAAAGACAGATGCAAGGAGAGAGAAACATCAGACGGTTACATTCAAGTCACATCAAAAGAGTATTTTTACTTTTTAAGTGGAACATTTTTCAGGCAGTTTCTTAATCATATTAATGGCTGTGTGAGCGGCACAAATGAGCAACTTCCAACTAAACACTGAATTGGAGTCTACTGGACGACTAGATATTGATTACGCATGACTTGGGCAGTTTGTTTGGGCAGTGATCTATAAGCCGTTTAGAGCGCAATCAATTGGCATTTACAAGATGATGATGAATGGGTAGATTGATGGTTGAGATGAAAAGGGTGATTCCAGAGCATACCAGTTTGGAAAAGACTCACTGGTAGCCTGAAGAACTGCACACACTGATGATGTTTTCTAAGGTGCTCTTTTGTTGCTCCTTCTGCATGGGTTGCAGGGCAGTAATAGTAGCTTATTGGAATATTCTTGGGCCAAACAAGAGATTTGTCATTCATAAAGAAAAGTTGGGCTTGCTAGGCCCCTGGCAATGAAGTTGTTCAAATTTTTAGCAAAAAAGGCTAATTATGCTAAGAGAAGGCTAGTTATGGTTTAAACTTCTATTAAAACTGAAAGGAAGAATACCTGAGAATTTCAAAATAAATAAGATATGCAGTAAATTAATAAAATGAAACCTCTTGTCTACGTCTACTACTACCAGCACTATTCTTTGGTTTGACTGAATAACTGAATGATGGATTTGAGTGTTGCATGGATGCATGGTTCCGTAACTGTAAACATCTGTTGCTAACTATGTGCTAACACACCGTTTAAATGGAGGCTGGCAAAGGCAGTGTTCAAGTACAGTAAAATCACAGGGTTCAATAAATATGCTCTACAGGACAGTGACCTTACCACACTGCGCCCTTGGATGTTTTTTTAATATATCCAACATGATTACAGAGCTCACAAAGCGCTGATAAAAAGATAAATTTCCTTCGTCTATGCCACAGGAACACACAAGTTCAGAATTATTTCATGTTTAGCTCGCTTAATAAAAACAGCGGCAATGTGACAAAAAAGCGCATTTAGAAAACCTTACTTATGCCTACGGCTACTGTGCGTATGTGAATCACAAAAACATTTTCTAACAAAATTGTATCACAAGATTGAACTGATCTCTGCTAAAAGCACATTTATGCTTTCCCTTAAACTTCATGTGGGATTTTTTTTCTGTACATGGCAGCTACAGTAACTCCTTACTTTGTCAAGTCTTGAATCTTTATATGTATATGTGATTCATTCTAGTGTCTATTTTTGGGTTACAACAACATCAAATTTAAGTTATTGATTGTGATGTACTTGTAGGCTAACGAAGGCATCGACTGAGGTCTACTACTGAAAATATATCCAAGATTGAGTGTTACCAGCACAAGTCTGGTGGAATGTCTGAAATATCTGGAATGTTTTAACAAGACACGGTGGAATGAAGGAGAAATAAAAACAAATCAAAACAAGGCATATGGAGATACATTTGATTTTATCCCTTTAAATTTGTGCCATTATATTAACCAGCAGCATAGACTGGACTCTACAGAGCAGGTTTAAGTTCTTTGTGGTATACGATCATGGAGCTTTCATGCAGGGCTCAGGGCTTTTTAAATAACTCCTCTGCATGTATTGTTGATGTCTGCCTTTGGAAACCTGCAATTTGATTTGCCTTTTGGTTTCAAACACAAAATTCTGGTTGCGTTCATCATTCTGCAACATATGACTGAACATTGTTTACGACACTAAACAAATCGTCCCATCTCCAACCCCCTTTCTCTTTTTTAATCAAATATTTCTGACCCACAAAGGCTTCACTGTCACTATGCAGACACGTCTGTGCCTTTAACATTGACTAACACATTAAGGAGTAAGTCTAAACACACAACAATGAAGATTGTCTGTTATTGCTGATTTGGGACTTCACTCCCATCAGTTAAACCAACGGACACAGGACAACTTCATTTCGAACAATATATTGCACTATTGTCACTGTCTGTTCACATAAAGTGTGTTCACAACATAGTTGTGTTTTTGAATTTTCTTTTTTTTTTTTTTTTACAAAAAATTGATGGAAATGTCAACAGAAATTAAAATAAGCCTGGTTTAAAATGTACATGTCCTACTGCAAAAGCAGAGCGAGCGACACCTGCCACAGGACATAAAAACCCAATGTTCAAACCACGAACATGTATAGCAAGTGAATTTATAGTAAGAATTTCACCTAACTGCTTTGAGACAGACTTCATGTATGGAGAACATTCTATAGTTTCCCCCATGGAAGAACATTTCAGACAGTTATCGCCTATTGTACATGGTGGAGATGTCAATTAAATAAAAAAGGAAAACCAGTTATTGCCTCAAATATCAATGTATTTCGCTTCATCATAACAAATGAAATGGTATCCATATGCGTACTTCACGTCACAAAAGTTTACTGCATGCTTAAAAAAAAGTTAACGAAACATAAACTCATCTCATCTCAAATGACTTCGTTCGCTTTCCGCTTTTACAGGTGCTGTTTTGAGTCCATCAGTGCTCATATTTCACTTTTACAATAAACCAATGAGAACACGAGGGACAGATTATGGGGTGAATCCTCACAACGGAGAACTGATAAAAATGCAAGTATTTATATACATTGTATGTATCAAATATCAGCAAGAACATAACAGGAAAATTTAATTAAATTTCTGATATGATTTGGATAATTTCCTAAACGTTAAAAATATGGCTTATTCTCTTAGTCATCTTGTTATATGTCACATTTCACTCTGATATAGTTCTCTTTTTTTATAACCCGAGGCTATTTACAAACAAAAAGGGTGGATGATGGGTGATATCTGGTCTTATTCTAAGTGCTTGACATTTTGAAAACATGGCATAAGATTTGCCTTGAAGACACTAGTTCTGTGTAGGTGTTACATACTTTTAATATAATCACAGTTTACAGAGAACCATGTTCTGTGTGAGAGATTAAAAAGTACATATCACCGCCAGAGACCAGATATTTTAAATCAAGGGCAAAGTCATGGCATGTTGCTCAATTTCTGGACACTTAGAAGTTGGGCTGAAAGGGTGGGAGGGTGATGGGGGAGGTGAAGAAAGGTATGGCATTAGTCTTGGTTAGATGAACGCTGTAAGAAGTTAATCACATTTCACCCCAAAACACTGTTACTTTTTATTGAACATATCCATGAGCGGAGTCGGGATGAATTTCATGACCGTGTCCACGATGCTCTCCTCTTCCTCCTCATCACCGCAGCCGGTGGGAACCGCCTTCTTTGGACGGGTGAGACTGCCCTCGGAGGCCTGCTCCATAGCAGCCGCTGCCTCGGCTTCCTTCTCCTCCTTCTTCTTGATGCCATACTGCTCAGAAAAGAGAAAAAAACAAACAGACAATGATATTAAGCCTCGTCCGAATAGGTAGTTACATTTCCTTAGTGGTTAGTTTGATCTTTTGATAATCTTTTAAAAATGATTCATCTCAGTTATGAAATATGATCCAGGGTTAGCATTTTAAACAAACCTTTAGAGACATTTTGTGAAAACCCAATTGTTTGGGTCGAGGACCAGGCCAGCTGTTTCCCCTACTTTTAATCTTTGAGCTAAGACTCAAAGACTAAAAGTAATTCTGTGACTGACTTCAAAATATGGCAATCTTTACTCTAAAGATAGAGACGTGTGAGGCGTGACATGATCATTTCATGCATTTGAGGTAAATTGGCTGAAAATGATTACTGCTCTTGCAAAGTAATTCATATTTCTTCATTTGCATGAATTAGCTTCAGGCTGCTTCCTCGTGAAGTTTAAGCACAGCACACTGTGGCTTTTTGGGTCCTGCATGAACAGCAGTTAAAATCGATTTCTGCAATTGGATGAACAGGAGTTTGGGTTCTGTGCTTGTGTGTTTGGGAGTTTTAACTGCTGCTTGGTCTAATTAGGCCTTCCTGGATATTTTATGTGCCAATTACAGGCAGAGGATCTCAGTAGGTGTAATGGACAATGCTGACGATTAAGCTTATAAAACCCTGGGCCCCAGCAGACTTCTATTAAATCAGGAGTGTATTTAGAGGAGAAAGAGCACAAAATTGCCATTTAAAACATTAGAAAGAACAACAACAGGTGGGAAATCTGTTTCACCATAGAAAAGGGCTAGTAAGTAGGATTTAGTGGCAACTAGCAATAAACCAACTGAATACAGCATAGGTTTACAATCATGAAGGAAAAACTACAGTGGCCGTCAAACTCGCAAAAACTGCAAAGGGCCCAATCTAGAATCAGTGTTTGGTTTGTCCGTTCTGGACTACTGTAGAAACTGTTCAACATGGCGGCCTCCGTAAAAGAGGACTCTCCCCGTAGATAAAAACTATATCATCACAACTGGCCAAACTCCATCTGCTGAGGGAGATCATATCATTTGATTGAAAGGTTAGGAAAAGTTACTAAATAGAGCTTGTGCTGAGATTGTTATGTCAACTACAGCTTCCCAATATGAAGCTGGTTATATGAAAAGCTGATATTTTGGAGATGCAAGGTTCCTGCACAATGACAACAACTTCAAACAAACAAGTCCGGACAGACAATTTATCACTAATGCTCCATGTCAGTGTAATAACTGATTCCTTAATTGAACTTGAGGCTTATATTTATTAATCTAAACAGATGGAGGGTGGATGATATTAGTTAACTTTGACATAATTTGAAACCAGCATCTTGTCAGCTTTTGTTTTGATGTAAAGGTTCTGGGTCTGTGTTACCTTGAGTGCATTTGGTGTGGCCCTAGTTTAAGCAAAATCAATACAGTTGAACTGCAAGGAAAAGGTTGCAGAGCACAGGAAGGTCAACAGGCTGAGCGATGTTGATCTTGAGGCAGAGGTGCGGAAAATGAGCTGGACTCCTCCCTGACCTCGCTGCTGCTCTCCCAAGCGGACGTTAATGTAATTCTAGAGCAATAAATATTTGAAGGAAAACTAGTGTCCATTACCGCTGTGAAGATGCGCAGTAGTTTTTACAGTAGAGAAGTTTTTGAATGGAGGATTGTTTAAGGAACAACAAAAAGTCAAAAAACATGCAAACACAAATGCTTTTCAACCTTTTCTTGCCATTATTAAAATTAGTTTGCTGTTCATTTAACTCTGGATCCAGCTCAATAATATCTTCTGTCACGACTAAACCATCCTTTTGTACAGCTATGATATGTAGAAATGCCTCCAGGGACAGTAGAAGACATTCTGTACGGGGTTAGAGATTTGAAAAGGATTCGTAAATAAATCCACAATAAATAGATTAATGTTTATAATGGAAGACTTTCAAGGCTGAGGCACACTGACAAATAATAGCAGCTGGTTTTTGTTATGCCAGTTGCTATTATTCTGGTCTAATATTTCACTCAACACTGGATTTTAAAGGATTCATCCTGCAGCCTCTAAAACCCTTTGTGCTTCTTCTCTTCTAAGTTCTTCATCCTCTGTCAGCTAATAAGAAGATACTTTGTGATCCTTTGTCTTATAATGCAAATCATTTTCTTCCTGAAGAATAGTGCATCTGCAATAAGTGACAAATTGGACTGAAGAAAAAAATGGTTGCTGCTATAACACTTAAGTCAGTGTGGGGCAACAATCGATCAGCAGGAAGATGCAGCAGATAAAACCATCAGTGAAAGACAGAGCAGAGATTATATCTAATACTTGGACTCATCTTCATCCTCAGAATGTTTATGACTACAATAACTGCAGACCAGTTATTCCAATGACATGAAGGCTTTTATCTATTTTTGTATGAAATATTGATAGATGGACTGTTCCTGTCTGTACATTACTGGTAGTGAGGATGAGAACCAACATATTCCAACATAAAGAAGATGACAAAACCTACCCAGTAATTCATCATTTGCAACTACTCTAACTTGGCATTATACAAATTATGTTTTGAGGGAAACATATGAATGACATTTTATGTATATTGAATTAATTTGGTGTTCATTTTAGAAGAACATGTACTTGTTTTCCATTAAAACCAGTGGCCCAAATCCCAGCTAGTGCAGACATTTATTGCCATGTAGTCCAGTAGTCTACCATGTCGGTCCAGACTGAAATATCTTAAAAAGCATATGATGGATTACCAATAAATGTTGTGCAGATATTCATGCTCCCCCAGAGGAGGAGGTCGACATTTTTGATTCACAGTAAAATTTCTCAACAACTACTTTATGAATACTACTTGACCATTAAATTTGGTATAGATATTCATGTTCCCCTCAGGACAAGTTGTAATAGCTCTGGTAATCCTCCAATAATACTGTGCTGAGTGCTCTTACAGCCTCACTGAGCTTCTAGCATGGCTGACTCTTACTCTTCATATAATTTAAACATGATCATTTGTTCTTCTTTACTTTAACCATCTTTTGTTTAAAATGAACCCATTAATGACTAACAACTATATTTAGTGTGTTAAGGAAAAGATTCACCTTTTTTTTCTGTTGGAGGGGGAAAACACAAAATCTGCTGTGGAAACTGTCAAGACATGTGGCTACACATGACAAAATCAAAATGTTTGATTTCACATATTTATAATGCCTTAATTGGCAGACAGAATTGATTTTCTTTTAAAAACGCAAAAAAACCTTCATTCATTCATTTGACATATTAAATATCAGATTTACACTAGATCAAAGCATAACTAGGGGTTACTCATTTTATCCCATAGTAATACATAAAATGTTTCTGAATCTATATTGTTACAATCGAGAATGTGTGTGTAGGAAATTAGTGGACATTAATGGGTTAACTGTACACTGACCATACGCAAGCTGCCATATTTGCCAGATGCAGAAATAACTAATTGAAAAATATTTACAGTGGAAGTTTAGACAGTAGCCTCCATAGAAAATGTCTACCAGGAAGCTTTCCGTTTCCCCAAAAAAGAATCTTTTGGCTTTAAGTCAAACATGTTTCTGCAAAATGTGGGCAGTATAGAAAAACAAGGCAGCCTGCTCAGCTGAATGGTTGGAGGCCCTTTTGCACAAGATTTGAGAAGTAAATTCATGCGCCTTAGTTCTAAAATGTTTCTTCTTAAGTTTGACAGAAAAAAAAAACATTGCTGCGATTGGTTGATGGATATCTCTTCTGTATCTCCTTCTGCTCCCTTGTTTGTTCTCCGCTTTCCCTCCATGCTGCTCGGTCTCGTTCCCTTGCAATCTGTCTTCCTCGGTCTCTCTCTCACTCTTCAGACTTGAAGACAGTCACGCTTAGTCAGCCCCTCTCCGCTCGCTATAATCAAACACTTTCCAAAGATATGCTGTCATATCGCTCTTTCTCCCTCTTCTCTCTTCTTTCACGTTTTGTTGCAAAACCAAAGAATCGCTTGGACTCAGTGGAGTGCGGAGCTGATCCTTGAACTCCAAATATAGCTTTACAAAGGCTACACAAAAGTTTTAAACTCAGCTCGAGAGCCCTCAAACAGTGTTCAAGTCAAATATTCAATGAAATATTAGCAATGTCAAGAGGAATATTTGACTGCTGCAGACACTTTGATACCATGAATTAACATTTTATTACATATGAATTAAATAGGATGGATTTATCAAAGACAAGATAGTTTTGGTGAGACCAAAAAGGGGTTTGAAGCTTTAAAAACTGAATTTTAACGGTAAGGAGTCCTGCATTTGTTAACTGAACTGCAAACAGCATTACTGGGTGTACAAACCTGAGCAGTGTGCAATCTGTTTTTTTTTCTTCATTAAGCATACAGCAAAAGCCAGTCTGCTAGTTAAAAGTTAATAGAGAACTCGCAATACAGTGAGGTTATCTGCGACATCGTCATGTTACTGTTGAGTCTTTAAAATGAAAGTCATGGTCACTGTGTGGGCATGCTGGCAGAAATCTAAGAGGCCGGCACAAAAACTCAACCTACATGGTGTGTATGCAACTAAAGACGGTGCAAAGATATGTCTTCTTGTGATTTGGGTGAACTCACCCTTCAATAATGCTTTAGTTGCAAGAATGGATATTGTAGGGAAAAAAGTTAAACAGATAAACAGATCGTCATTAGATGGATAAAACAATGTAATCCAAGCAACATTAAGGGTTCATTATGGTTCAAACCTTGATCTGTTTTTACTGAATGTCATCCCACTGTATTTAAGTGCAAAGATGTTCTAAATGGTCAGGCTCAAGGTGGAGCAAAAAGCCTACTATTATGAGGGTGCGATCATTCATGCAAATAGTGCACACTTTTACATTTTTTTACAAGAAAAGGGACAGTTGTAGTTGTGTGAAAAATGAAAAAGGGGTGTTGAGAAGGTTAAATAATAAGGTCCAGTGTGCTTCTTCTTCTACTTTGTCAGCTGTATTGATGATTATTTTACCTTATCTCTGATGCCCTGTCGGAGGTTTTCTCTCTCCGCCTCCATTTTTGCATATTTAGCCTTCCTCTCCTCTTCCTGTTGCCTCAGTGCCTCTTGCCGTTCTTCTTCTTTTTTCTGAGCATCGGGATCTTTCTCCTCCTCCCCACCAAGCATCTTGCCCATGTCTTTGGTGGCCCCTGTTGTTGGTGGTGGCAGAGAGAGAGAGAGAGAGAGAGAGAGAGAGAGAGACAGAAAAATGATAAATAAAACAAATGTCAAGCAGAAATCTTTTAATAAAGAGTGACAATTATGGCAATTCACAGTAATTGCAGCATAATAGATCTCAGTTATTGGCTGTCGCAAAGCATTTGATGTGAACAGTGACACATCTAAGATTTGGATAATTCAATAGACATTGCTTTGTATTTCAACCCTCTTTCAGGTCAGTGAAAGAGCAGCTCAATCTGCCCTCGACTGAACCAAAGACAAAAGTGTCTGACAATAGAGGGGACGAGAGGTGAGCCCCATGAACAAGAGCCCGGGATAAAAGGCACGGCAATAAATGATTAGCAATTCTCTTGATTGCCTTTGTTCTGCTCACTTTGCCCTTTGCTATCTCCAACATCCTCATGCAAAGCGGCCACTTGGAACATGGGTCAAGACCTGAGAACAAAAGGCTTAGAGTGCTATTGAAAGGACCATAATAAACAGACACTGGGACTCATTTAGCTACTGATCCCATTTCCTGGCTGTGCTAGTTAGATATGCTAAACAAGAGATCAAGCACATGGTAAAAAAGATATTTATTAAATTATTATATTATATTATATCATTGCAGCTTTGGTCTGGGTGTTGTTGCTTTGACTTGTGTGTTACTTCTATTCTATTCAATTCTAATGATAGGCATTTCCTACCGCGGACTGTTAATTCTTCTGGATTGGAGCATCACTTCATATTTTAATTGTATTTTATGGTGTTATTTGATGATAAAACAGAGTCTAGAAAGATACCAAAAAGCCATTTTGAAATTCTCTTCTTGATGAGGCCTGGCTTATTAAAATGGCCGCTGGCACTGGCAAAGCTGTCTCAGGCACTGACATCCTACTGTGTCTTGACTAGACTGTGTCGGCCTGTGTGGAGCATCTGGTGTGTGCTATGGGCATCAAATGACACGTTCCATATGCCGCTACACGGCTGGTGTGTTTTGCCCTTGCCCGGCATCCCTAGGAATTACACTCATATTGAACAATTGTGCAATTTATGTCCAGTGCCAACCCGAGAACAATCATGCCCTTTATGCATGGCCGTGGAGAGGATGTGCTGGATGTAGCCCATCTGATGTTAATCTGGGTGACCGGAGTTCTCATTCTGTCACAGACCAACTGTTTATGTAAATTGTAACTGTAATCTTTCTCTAACCTAACCATACACCATGTCAAAACCACAATCACTCCCTTCCAATCAAACATTAACCCCACTGTGGCAACCAGATGTTGTAGAGAGGAAGAATTTCAAAACGTTCCCACTGCCATGAAAAAGGTCTGCTGGTGCATGCACTGCATCAACACTGTCGGAGCTGTCGGGACTCTGATGCTGCCGTTCACTCTTGTATAACATGAAAACAACTTCCGCAGAGAGAGCTAGATCGCCCTTCACAGCAAACATTTGGTTTTGTCAGTTCCTGTTTTGTTGCCATTTTGTTGTGATTGAGTAAAGTGTGATGCATCCATGTCAGTTACACACAGGAACAGAACCCAGTCTCTTCAGAAAACAGACTCTCTGACTACCTTCACAAGATGCTGAGGCTTTGTTTAAATTGGTGAAAAATAACACAGCACTCCTTTGTAAATGATAAAGACAAATGTTAACCAGACAAAGGCAAACACTATATAACCCTGCTTGTTCTACAATAGACCTCAACAGTCTGTTACATGGCTTTACTCTAACCAGAACATATTCTCATTATAGTGTGAGCAGCAAGAACATTGTCAGTTTTGCTGCCTCAGTACAACCATTAAAAAAACAAATGCTGACATTATCCTTTTAGCTATAACAACTTGAAAGGCCATAGTTCAAGTCACGAAGTTGCACAGACTAATCTTAAGCGTCATCCGGAGTGTTGAGTAGCTCCTGCAGTGTTTTTGAGTATTACCCATACACAGGGCTCTGGCTGTGGGTGCTAACTCCAGAGGCATTCTTTCCAGCTCTAACAGTGGCCCCACGAACCCTGAACCCACCTCTCTCCACTCACTTCCAATTCACAGGAAAGAAATTGATTTTAACGAGAACTGGACCTCCTGGACCACTTGGGGCAAATTCGAAACACAGTTCTCTCACTGCCCCGAGTCCAGCACATTTCCCTTCACTATTAGTGCCCCTGTATTAGTGGCTCGGCTGCTACGCTGTGCCTCACAGGCTCTCCGGAGGAAAGACTCAAAGACACAGCCATCTGCTTCAACCATAAAATTGATGAGACAGCGGTGACCTTGGGGTTCTTGGCTGCAGTCTGAACTTGCCTTGTTGACGGACCAGGACAAGCCCCAGTCCTTTAGTCATATGGAGCAGGGTGACTGCTAATTAATAAACAGACATGTTGATGTTTCTTTTTTTTCATCAACTGCTTAGTGTACCAAACACGTGACATGTTGGCTTGTTAAGAATGCGTTACATTCATTATTTCTAAATGCTGCACTCTTTTCTTTTACTCCTTATTATACCGACTGTTAATAATGAAGTAAGTCTAAATATAAACAGTTTTCACATAGATAGTATAATATATACATACATATATTCATGTTGACTTTAAGGTGGTGACATCTACATCATCTCTGTACACTTAAAGGGTGCATAACAGCTATAGTGAATAAAACAGAGAAGCGGTCAGTTTTTGTCATACATTTGACGCAGATAAAGATGGTCAGAGAGATGCAGCTAAACCCTTACCTCCCTGTTCTGAGGGTAAGCAAACTAATTAGTTACTTTCTTGTAGTAACACTAATAAAATTATGTCTCCCCAGGGGCCAGTCTGAACTGTTAAAAGTGGCTGTAAACTTTTTCTTTGACTTTGTTGTTGGTAGCTTGAGGAGATTTCCCAAATCTTGTATGCAGAGCAATCTTTATAGAATATCCCCCATCACTTCAGGGATATTGCATTTTTATTTGGCCCAGCAGAACAGAGAAACTTCCAAAATTAACTTAAGTTAGAATTAACTTGTTAGACCTTAGAGTCTGCAGATTCAAATTAAAAAAATATAGCACAGCATGCTTTATATCTTATTTTAGCTTTGACTTTATCAGCTGTATCTTACTACATCTTGACCTATTCTCATCTCCGTATTAGCACTGATACTATAATGGTCATTTGTGCTAACAAAGTCTTTCAAATTCGGTTACAATATGGATATAATGTAACTCAATTTGGGAGTCTGTCAATAAAAATGTGTCAATTAATGTTGTCAATAGTTGTATAATTACACTACATTCACATGTATACTCTTATTAAAAGAGAAACTATGAAAAAGAGTTTCACATCAAAATTATAAACTTTAGACTACCTAAAGAAGGGTAAACCTTTTGATTAGTGTTCTTCTGCAGACAAGAGCAAAAACAGAGATCAAACCTGTTTACCTTAATCTGTCTGAAACAGTCTAGTTTCCAAAGTTTGGCTAATTGGATATTTTTGATATAAATCAGCTAAAATATCAGCCGCATACACCTTTTATCTAGAGTCTACTGCTGATAATTTGTATGTCTTTGCAACTGATGCCACTTTATCTCTTGCATTTGCATCGCCTCTCCCAAACCTCCACATGACTAATCTCGATGCTCAGGGCTAATTAGCTCGTCTGATTGTGACAAAGCTGCTGTGTAGCGACGTGAGACAGTTGTCGTTCCCAAAAGCCTTGGTGTCATCATACGCTGCCAGCTGTGGAGGCTGGGAAATGGTAAGCTAAGCGAGAAAGCTCCAGAGGAAGAGCTGAGAATCTCGGTTATGGTTAGAAAAACACTGAAACACAGTCAAAGTACTTCATTAGAAAGCACAATGAATAACTTGTCCCTCAATACAATGCTAGAACTATACAAGGCAACTTGTTGGTTGCTTAAAAGACAACTGCAAGTAAAGCTTTTAACTGGAGTTATGTTTATCGCAATTCAAATGCCCAAAAACTAGTATGTGGACCATTGAGCTCACATTTTCTGCACTATGAAGAAACCTTAAGTGTACTTTGGTTTCAGTTTCAGTTTAATCCAAACTTAATTAAAAATTATTGATTAAGTTGTGATTCTTTCTGCAAAGATCTGATGCACCACAAACTCTCACATTCTGGCCACAGTTCAATAAGTTAATAATAAACTGTAATAAAAATATTACAGCTCTACAAATGTAAAAGATAGCATTTAACTAAATAGGGGGTGTATTTGATGCGAAGGTAGAAAAATAGTCTATAGCCATGCTGCCGGCTCTGTGAGGCTGTACTGCTCATCGTAAAGAAAACCAATCTTTTAAATAGAAACTGTAAACCAATGTATTGGACAAATTAAACATTTGACCTGATGAAGGTGCTGGATAAAAAGTCCCAGGGCATCACCACAGTTCATGTGGACCATGTACACCCATCAGCCATAACACTATGACCACCTGAGCACCCTGACTAACCACTGTGGACTGGGAACACCACAAGAGCTGCAGGTTTGGAGATGCTCTGACCCAGTCGTCTAGCCATCACAATTTGGCCCTTGTCAAAGTCGCTCAAATCCTCACGCTGCCCATTTTCCTGCTTCTAACACATCAACTCTGAGGACAAAATGTTCACTTGCTGCCTGATATATCCAACCCACTGACAGGAGCCATGATAACCAGATAATCAGTGTTATTCATTTCACCAGTCAGTGCTTATAATATGGAGGGGTTATGGCTGATCGGTGTATATCAAATTACATGATAATCCATCCGACAGTTGTGTCGACAGTTCAAACCAAATAAAAGAACGAGTACTTACATTTTGGTACTTACAGGGGTGCCAATATGAGTACTTAATAATACCATTACTGTTGCAACACTGACTTTAAAAACATGTTTTATTTTCATCAGATGTTCCTCACTTTCTGACTGTAATAAATTAGATCTCCAAACTGGTGACACTGCTTTTCTTCCGCCTACCTGTCAACCTGCTAGTGATGTAAGAGGAAAACATCA